TTTAGAACTGGCTTTAGCATATCAGTTAACACCCTTAATTTGAGATTTTTCGGAATTTAAATCTATTTTACTGAGAGAAAAAAGCTTTGCACTAATTATACTCTACACAGTCCGATACCTTGGCTTCCTTCTGGACAAAAGACTGACTTGGAACCCACATGCGAGACTTAAAAGACAAGAACTTAACCGACGATATGGCCAGCTATATAGACTACTAAACAGAACATCTCAGCTCTCAGTAGAAAACAAATTATTAATCTACAAGACCATACTAAAACCTATCTGGACCTACGGACTTCAACTGTGGGGGACAGCAAAATCATCGAATATCAAACGCATCCAATCCTTCCAGTCCAAAGTCCTTCGAACAATAGTCAATGCTCCATATTATGTCACGAACAAGACCCTACACCATGACCTTAACATCCCATATGTCCATGACATCATCCCATCCAGATTCTCCAACTTTCACCAGAACCTTATTCATTATCCCAATCCTCTAGCGCAATCCCTATCCAGCTCCGATCATCCATAACATCCCCCTCGAAGGTTGAAACGGCAGTGGCCTCGAGATCTTTCGTAAATATGCCTTTACAAGTGGCACTGGGATCTTCCGGAGTCTTGCTTTGCCTTCCACGTGTGGGAGGAAAATCCTAGCTCGGAATTCTTGGGCGAATGTATGTATTGTATATAGTTATGATTGTGTTTAGAAGTTTTTATTTTATTTTATTTGTTAAGTTTTTATCAACATTATTTATTTATTTACTTCTTATATTTATATTTATTTCTTTATTATTTGTATATATTGTATGAATGAGAACTTTTAGCCCTAATGCGTATAGCCCTCCAGCAGTGGCTGATTGTATTATTATTCAATAAATAGATTTTTTTTTTAAATTATACTCAGACCTGTTTCAATTTGTCTACTCTTGGAAACGATTTACCTTCTAAGCAGAGACTGCTGTTGGTATAGAATTTTCGACGTACTATTAAATACGTCGTTCCAGCACGCCGATTTTCTCTGTTCCTCTTATGAGAGTCTAAGCGAGTCTTTCAATTTGTATTTCCGACCATTGTCTGATTTCTTGTGTTCCTTTTTATTGAGAAGGTATTGTGAGCCACATTGGTAGTTAAAAACAGAAAAATAAATCATATTTGTATTGATATCACAGGAATAATCTTGCGATTTCTCGTCCGAAACGTACCAAGAATCACGATATCTTAGTAGAATTTGCACCTCAGGGTGCTATAAAAGACTAGTTTGTACCTCCACAAACTTCTATCATCTGTTGAAAGTTTGTAATTGGCTTTTTAATTTTTAATATTTCAAATTAGTACCTAATTTGCCAACAAAAACTAAAACTTAAACTTAAATTAATTAAATCATATTTTTGTTTCAATTGATATCACTACATATTATTTTCTACTTGTTCATAAAACTCTTATACTTAATATTTGATTCTAAGTTTATCGTATAGTTAACATCATTTTATACTTATTTCATTAATACTAAACATATCATGACATTAACTTATTACAATTACCCCGCACAATACTATAATTTTTTCCACTCCTTAGATTGTATTTATTAACATATGACATATATTTTGTTCTCATGTCTTTTTTACTATAGTCGTTTAATAATTTTTGGTTGTTATCTTGTCCTGCTTCCGGCCTGACGAAGGCTTGTACGTCATAAAACTTCAGCACAAAATAAAATAATTTATGTACAGTATTTCTCACAGAATGCAAACTCAACTAGCTTTCTAACCATAGTTTAATTAATATTATAAGTTAAATAAGATTCATGCTTCGTATAAAAATATTATAATGAAGTTGTTTATAATTAATAATTTTATTTATTCCTGAAAAATATTTGTTCCTCCTCGTAATTAACCTTAGTCGTTTTCAAATTATCAACAGAAATTTTAATTTCTATCCAGTCCTTAGATGTGAAAAATATATTCATTTTAAAAACATTTCCCCTCTCTTAAATGAATAAAAAAATTCACTGTGTAAAAACTAATTTATTTTTCTATAAAGGGTTGGGAATTAAGCTCCAAGTTAAGCAGAACGTAGTTGGTAATTGAGACCGTTTTTCAAAGAAAAAAAAAGATAAAAAAAAGGGAAGGTTGAGAGAGGGCATATAGAGGGCGATAAGTGGCGACAGTCCCGCCCAACCGAATGGAACTTCTCTTTCGCCAATCCCTGTCCTCCACAAGTCGCCATGGTTCAAAGAACTCAGCTTATGGTATATATTGAACCAATAGCGTTTTTTTATTATTATTTTTTGTCAATAATTTTTATTAAATGAAATCTTTTGATCTACTGTGCGGGTATGAAAATGGAAAACTAGAGGAAGTAGGGGGCGGATTGTAATTCACGGTTTCAGTATAGTTGTCTTCAGTGGACATCAAAGTCTCTAATAATCTAAGAATTATGATTACAGAGAACATTAAAGTTAATTCATGAAGTAAGCTAGTCGACTGTTCTACATATCATCGGTGATAAATATTCAGGTCGCAGTCTTTTTTTTAATATTAATTTATGATATTTACAACTGTATTAACATCAAGTAAATGTGTAGACAGAAATATAATCACATGAAAACGCTTGTTGAGAAACTACCCATTGGTAGCGGTCTTTTTTTAAAAAATATTTAATTTTTTAGTTGTGCCAACGTTTGCACTTGAACTTGAGTACTTTGTGTACTTGAACACCCTCAGTGCTCAAACCACGCCCTGAAGATGACCCACATGTTTGGGTTGAAACGTTGGTACATATAAAAGATTAATTTTTTTTTTAAAAAGACTGAGCCCTGAATATTTATCACCCATTAAAATTCATGCTAAATAAGTCTTGATTCCAAATTTTCTCCTTTTTTACTTTTTTTTTCGGTTGTAAAACACCAAATATTATTTAAAAATATTTACACATCATTTTATTTTTAAAATATGTTTATAATGATGACTTTTTTTTCCAGAAGCTCAACCTTTCGTGCTTCTTTCCATAATTTGATTTTTAATGCTAAGATTTTATATTTTCCCCGCAGGATTCCTCAATTAAAACTAAAAAATCTCTATTTCTACCAAGTCAGACATTTTTTTTTTTGCAACATTGAATATTTAGCTTTTCATATGTTGAACATTAATGACCAAATTGACCTTTAAGTCCTAAGTTTATTTAGACTCGACTGGTTTATTCAAACCATACATGAACAGAATTTAGGCTTATTTTTTTATCGTTAATTTCGATTATGAAGTGCTATTGTATATCTTGGTTTCGGTTTTTGTACTATAAATCTTTCTTATTTCTTTTACTTTCTTACCTATACTATGTAATGAAAGTATTGCGATCAGGTCAAAATTCCGATATGTGGTTTTCAACGGATCTATCCCTTTCAAATCCCCGAAAAAACCGGCCACTGTTTAAATTCCCTACACAACTATATAAAAATCGTTCATTTCGGACAACTATTAAAGAAGTTACATCTATTCAATTTAGTATGTAAGATTACGGGTTCATATCCTGGGGTCAGAAAGGGATGAATGAGAGACAAAAAAAAAGTAAATGAGAGTAAGAAAATCTGTTGCCGGCATCACACAAGCTTCTCTATTTCCTCTACTTTTAACAGAAACTATTGTTTGACAAAATTAGGCTGTAGCAAAAAGTTTTTGATCAATTATATTAGAGAGTATTGAAATTTTTACACTGCTTTATCAAACTTATCAAAGAAATGTTAATCAAATTTTTTTTTTTATCAATTTGCAGGAAAATAATTCTAATTCAATTTTTTTTTAACTAAGCTCATTAATGGCCATTGCCGAAGGGAAAGCCGACAATGCCATTTCCAGGAAAATCAAAAACTTCAAATCAAATGAAGGAATCTTTGGACAGAGACATCGTCCTCGCATGGGCACCCTCACATTGTGGCATATCTGGCAACGAAGCTGCAGACAGAGCTGCGAACCTGGCAAGAAGAAAAACAAATGGAACCACAATGATCAATTTAACGACCACTGCTGACTGGAGATTGGAATGCAAAAAAATTCTATATGAAAAATGGCAATTCAAGTGGAACCAATCTACGAATAAATTGCAAGAAATTAAAAAAGATACCAAACCGTGGACGACCTCTTTCAGAAAGAACAGGAAAGAAGAAATAATTTTAACTCGGCTTAGAATTGGACATGCAGCCTTTACCCATGGCAACCTAATGAGAGGCCTGGAACCACCATTTTGTAAAACATGCAACACATCACTTACACGGAAACACATTGTAAAAACTTGCATACTATACTCTGACACCAGAACAAAACATAATATACTTTCCAACATATCTGACGCACTTTCAGATGACGAAGAAAAGTATTTGAATTTATAAAATACATTAAATTTGTACACCTAATTTGATTACATCTAAAGCCGCTAATGACCCGATCGGGTAGATGCGGAATGTAACAATAAATAAAATAAAATAATTTTTTTTTGTTTTTTAATGTGGACATATTTAAATATATAAAAACTTTTCTGAAATAGGTAGAAAATTCGTGTAAGTGGACATACCAGATTTTTCCTTTTCAATTAATTACATTTGTAGTTTCCATGGCATAAAGTCTCGTTATAACGAGTTGAGGGTGTAAATGAGGTTTTTTTATAAAACTAAACTATAATACAAAGGTTTTTTTGTATTGACCTTAAAAGATAAAATGATAGCAAACGAAGAAAGTGATAGAATTGAGTTGATGGTACCGTTCTAATGGAGAGCTGCATGGACGTACTCCGCTTCGTCAGGGAAGTGGCGATGTCAGTCATAAGGAATGCCTATGCAAGGAAAATGACGAATTGAAGAATAAAAAAAATACATGAAATAATATATATTTTGATTTTTAATTTATGTATATTATTATTAACTGTTGTAAATTATTATTTATATTATTATAAATGAAGGATATTTCGTTTCATTCCTAACAAGATCTAATGTTTTCTTGCCGTTGCAGGAAGATTGCCTTGGTGAATATCCTGATCAGGGCTGGCCTGGACTTGGACTCTGAGGCGATGAAGAGGCTCTGGGTGACAGTGCTGAAGATAGGACTTCTTCCCTGGATCCTCGAGTGCGGCGTCGTCCTGATCTCGTCCCACTTCCTCCTGGACCTGCCCTGGATGTGGGGCCTGCTCTTAGGGTGAGTTCTGCTCTGTCTGTTATCTTGTATCGGGATCGATTGAAACATTAAGGTGATGTCGTACACATTTAAATGTTTTCTAATATTAACGAAACATCTGAATTAGACCCTAATGAGAAACTTTGGTGCGGTGTGCGCATCACATATCTTTCCTCTACCAACCTACTAAGAGGACTCGAATAAGTTGGACGAGTGTCCCAGATTCTCCTAGAGTAATGAATTACCTCCCACTTGTACTTCCAGAACTCTTTTATTTGACTATAAATGTATATTTTCTATTTTTCCCATTAATTTTAACTGAATATATTGTATAGAATGGTTTATATTTTACCATTTTATACAATATATTAATTTAAATTAATATGAAAATATACATCAACAGTCAACCAAAAGCTCTGAGTCCGTGGTACAGATCTCTTTTCATCAAATTATTAACATCCGCCTGAAACTTCGTGAATAGATTCATCTCATCGTAACCTACAACTATTTTATTTACGAAAATCTTGAAATTAGGGTGTTTTTAACTGGCAGATCAGTAAACTTTGTCAATTTAATTAGGTACAAAAATTCGTTAATACCAATTTTTTTTCCACTTGGATCGTAAGATAATTTATCACGAAATAGAGAAAAAAGTGGTCAACAAAAATATTGAGCCGTTTGGTCGATATAATTTTGAGGGTCTAGGTCACGCCAAATGATTCAATATTTCTGAAGGCCACCTTTTTTCTAGATTTTGTTTTTAGTTGTTATTACTTAATTAAATAGGCAAATTTTGTTGATCTACATATTAAAAAGAAGATATATACCTTATAAGATGACGTTATTTACGAAGTTTCCGGCGGATGTTAATAATTTAAAGAGAAGAGGTCTGTACGACGAACTATATATTTAACTCTTGTATGAAAAATATTTACTTCTCTGATAATTTTATGTCTATGTTATATATTTTTAATATTTATTTTATAAAATTAAGTTTTAATTTATATTTATTTATTTTCTTAATTTACTGTTTATTGATCGATTTATTATGTTTTAAGCGTAACAATTTTCCCATAGCATGACGAATTATTATTCTGTATACATGTCTTACAAAACTGAATAACTTACTTATTTTCTTTATCCCTTACTTTTCGGAAACACAGATTTTTGGTAGAAATACTGATACTTACTAACTGAAGGAATTCGTTCTCCTTGATGATATAGAGTCTGGTTTTCCACAGTATCTTGGCATTAATTGCCTCAAAATCAGTGCAAGTCATACAACTGAATAACATAAACATAATCACAACAAAATTATTTTTTTTCTATCGAAAAATGGTTTTTAAATATTAATAAACTATTATCAGCAGTTGACGAAGGTTCCCTCAAATCTGATGGATGAAAATTCCATTCCATGATTGTCAACCTTATTAGAAAATTTGGTTACCTTATGTATGGTAGATGTTGGTAAACCATATATGTTCTTGCCAATGTAATGACGTAACTTTTTTGTGGACTATTAATAGGTCAATAAAGTTTTCTATTCAAAATAGCTAATACTCAATATTCAAGTTCAATGATTTCAAATAAGACATATCAAAAAACATCGCATAATTTCTTTTTTTTTTCCTTTATTGAGTATTACAACAATGTGACTCTTGGAAGGTTGTGTCAGGTGATGTCACAACTGAAAATTGATCGTACATTGATTTAGTGCGTATAATTAAAATCTCGTTTCTAAAATTTATAAAAAAGGCATATCTGTATCTGCCATAACGTTTCACTCTTTGGTTTTCATGCTTATTTCATTAATGCACATGATCTCTCGATCCCCCTGACATTTATTTCTTTATTTGTTTTGATTGTTGTCTGGCAACACTTCCTATTCATAATCTATTGTAGAATTTTATAATTTTTAAAAATTGTAAGGTTTTTTCCACGGCGTTTTCGTTGTCAGTGAGGTTTTCTTTTAGACTCTTAGCCATATCCAAATTTTTCCTGATATTCTTAAATACTGGGCAGTCTTGAATGATGTGTTGGACAGTTCTTTGCACCTGACAGCTCTCGCAGGTCGGTGGGTCTAGTCCTCTTATTAAGTAGCCTTGTGAAAAGTCAAAATGCCCAATTCTTAAGCGGCAGAGGACTGTCTCTTTTTTTCTGGAGAGTCGGTTACTAGTTTTCCATTTGGAACAGTGGCTTTTTATTCCTTTTAATTTGGTTTCTATTTGTTGCCATACGTTCTGCCATATTACCCGCAATTTTTTTTTATATGATGTGTAAAATCTTCTTTTGGTGCTTCGTTAATTATAACTGTTGGATTTTTTTCTCTCTTTCTCGCGTCCTAACATTATAGACGTAAATTCAATTACTTTTTAATAGATATAGAAAATGTTTATTTAAATCAAGAGATAAGCCACGCCTTCATTCTGACAGACACAACCAGCACAGACATAAGCAGTGATCTCATTAGCTACAGCAAATGGTGGCGGTGGGGTTGCTGTTGCCATTACTGTCTCGTTAGCGGACTAAGTTGTGCGTCGACTCTCTGATTGGGTTTTACAGCAACTAGTTTAGCCTGCAAAAGTTAATTCCACTTCCAATTTATATAACGCTCATCGGGTGCAACTATGGCGCAACTGCGCATCTGAAAATGTTTAGGAGAAGTAAAAGAATTCTAATTAATATTATATAAGTAAGATGATTTTTAAAATAGATTCAACTAGTGTAAATATTTTCTATCCATTCAAATTTTGCTTATTTTGTAATGTGGTGTTGATTCGATTAACTCGTCCTTTCGAGTCTTGTAGGTGGGTCTTATATTCTGAAAGGAAGCCAAGATACCAGACCGTATTTGAGAAGGGAAGCGGTATAGAGTTAAAAAATCTGAAGTAATTTCCACGATTCTAATTAAAAATTAAACAATGAAGCAAAAAAATAATTGTCCGAAAATGCTCCGAAAAAGGGAGAAAGGTGAAGTGATTATATTCAATGAGAGTAGACTCCGGCTGACTTAGACCCCAGGAGAGATGCTCCATTATCAGCCCGCTCCGCGCAGGCCCATTACTCCTCATTCTTCTCCGTGTATAAATCTAAATAAATCCCTCTCCCCTCGCCAGCTTGCAATCTGTATACTCTACTAATTGCTACGTGTGGATGAGGCCATCTTGTTAGCAGCTGCGGCATATTTCTTAGTCAGTTTTAGCGTCTTTGACAACTGGAATACTAAACAAACTGTTAAATATTGAGAGGGGATGAGCTAGCAGCATATTCAACCACTATCACTCGTTATCGGATTCGAGTCCGGCTGTGGTGTATATCAATTGACCAAATGATTCGTTGTGACACTCGTAAAGTACTTCAGGGCTCTACAAACTAGATATTCCGGGAACTCATGGTAAAAAATCTGGTGCGCTCAACACACCACTTTCACTTACTCTTTGAACTTTGAATAAAAATTATTTTCTGGCCATGTTAGGCTATTATAAAATGTTTTAAATTGCATTTTAAACTGAGCTAAAGCTAAAAAAACACAAATGCTATTAAAATAACAAAAGTCCTATTTATTATATCACCGGTTGATTATGAAATGTACGATTCGTTGATTATGGATTGTTCGATCCATTGATTATGAATTGAACGACTATAAGTCATTAAACTGTTATTTTCCATTGAAAAGTTTATTAAAACGGAATTAAGAGATTTGCAGTGTCTGTCATAGACAGGTCAAAAGTTGTCACACTAATTGTAAGTGGATTCTGTTGGAATATCGCAAAAAGAAGAATTATCAAACTATTCACTAATTTAATTTTCTAAAAGGTTACATGATGATTTTTCGGAATAAACGGACGATAGATATCTAAATATTTAAATATATTATGAGATCTAGAGTTATTAAACTACAGTAAATATATTTAGGATTATAAACGTATCTATGAAATATTTTTGTATTTCACTTCTTTTTTCACACAAGTACAATGAAATGGTAGAGGAATATCACAAAGAGAAGATCTATCGAATTATTCACTAATTTAGTTTTCTAAAAAGTTATATGACACTATTTTGGAATTAACTTTAATACCTAATTATTTATAGAGAAATACACACAGACACACAGACCATTTGTCGGGACTTGGTCATTTCGACTCAGGGTACCTCAAAACGTCTATTTCCGTTGAAAACTCAGATTCAAAAATTTTCTCGATCGCAATACTTACACTTACTATATATTACATATATACGTAAGTGAAAGTAAAAAAGGGGTCGTGTTTTATACTGAGTTTTTTCCTAATAAATTGATCATATCCATATGCCTGATGAGAAAAATACACGTCTTCCAGCACATAGCCGCTGGAATACAAAATGACAGCTATGTAAAGAAAAAGACTCTATGTAGGTTGTATGCGTATAAATAGAGAAGCCTTATGGATATATAAAGCCAACAACCCTTTAAATTTATAATATTTACAGTCTTAAGACATGAAATAATAATCAGTTACCCCATGCCCCTGGATTTAATGTAGAAAAAATTGAATTTACGATTAAAAAAGATTACTTTTTTTCGGTTTTTTACTTATATCAGCGAAACTATGCGTTCTATCTATAATAATTACATGTCTAAAATTAAAGCTGATAAAATTTTCAATAGAAATGGTTATATCAATTTTTTTGCTATATTTTATAGTTTTCGTGATATCCGTCCTCGTAATTCAGTAACCTCGAGAATAAATTGTTTTTGCGTCGCATTTATATCATTATTTGACTCGCCAACTATTTATCTTTTCATTTTACGAAAAAGTCAAGGAGAAGAAAATTGTTTAATATTAAATTTTTCTTAATAATATATATTATTTTACTACATTATCTTCAACCATTTAAAGGCTAGACCAATTGTAATTTAATGATTAAAATCCGATACACAATAACTTACTTTTAGCAATTTTCGTTATTATACAGCTCTTAATCAGTATATAAGACAGGATATATATGTATATTGAGTAAGCCAATGTACACAAATTTATGTT